GTGATTACGTCAGACGAGGCTACGCAACGCGTGATTACGTCAGACGAGGCAGACAAGGCTATGCAACATGTGATTACGTCAGACAAGGCTACGCAACGCGTGATTACGTCAGACGTCGGCGACAAGCTTTGCGGTAGTAAACAGGAAGTGCAACTTGCTAACTAGCAGAGGCTAAACCGGACAATGGAGCGATTTCTTTCGTGAATGCCTTTCTATTGGGCATCTTTCGCGAATTAAAGAGAGAAATGTTCTCGTCTCTTCGTCAGTCCACACGTACCTGTTGTTGTTCGCAGCCATGTTTTCGCGCGTTTATGATAACATCCGGGACGAGGCAGGAAAACGGAAACAGCTGAGGTAAGTGCACTACTTCAGAATTTATTCAGCAAACGTGTTTCCATCTCCCGTTTTGCGCATTAACTACTTTGCGAATCGTCCAAAAACCACCTCAAGCGAGTGTAAAAACTTTTTAGCGAATTGAGGATTTTTTTTTCTTCGAATTTTGCTGTTTCCATCCTACTTTTTTTCACATTTTTAATGCGACACTTCTAAATGTGCATCAAAAAGCCTTGATGGAAACATGGTTTGTGTCCTCATTCACCCATTCACACAGCACTCTATTAGGTCTCTCTACAGAGCTAACGTACAATCATCTATGGAGACTAATCAGTGCCAATCACATTCATACACTGATGGGACACACATCAGAGGCATTAGGGGTGAAGTGTCTTGCCCAAGGACACAACAACTGACACAGCTGGAATGGGGGATCAAACCGGCGACCTAATCGTTCCAAGATGACTCCCCTAACCACTCTGCCACAGCTGCCTGTAGCACTGTCTCTAAAGCTACGTTCACACCGAACGCATTTTGAGCTGCAGGAGCGGCTGGTTTACATGCAAAGTCCATGTGAACGCGCCTAGGGCTGATTATTAAAAATAGTCTGACTAATTTAATAATCGATTAGTCTTTAATTTTTTTGTTCTTTAGTTTGTTTTTCCTCTCCAAACTGCTCCTCAGCATGGCTTCCTAAAAACACTGCAGGATTTCTCAGACATGCATGAATGAGTCAGAGCAAGGCTTTGGGCATGTTTTTATGAGAGTATAACATTATAACATGATATAAAACTCAAAAAAGTTGGTTTTACATGATATTACCACTTTAAGAAAATGAAAGAGAAACCTGTGCAGTACAATATCTGCAAGGCAGAACTTACCTTCCACAGCAATAATTTTTAGTTAGCATATAGCTAAACTCTAACGATAGTTATATAACAGCAGCTGCATTCTGGCTCGATAAGCTGTATGTTTTATATTCAATTAACATACGATCTGATTAGTCGGCTAATCGAAAAAAAAATCTGTGATTAATCGACTATAAAATTAATCGTTCGTGGCAGCCCTAAACGCACCTCTAGGGGTCTCACGGTGCGTCTAGGCCGTTTAGCGCGGTGCGCAACAGAAGCGGTAGAGCGTTTTCTGTGCATGTGGCGTGTCTAAAGCAGCCGACGCTTGAGTTAAAAATTTGAACTTTTGCTTTTCGACGTGCCGCGTTAACCAATCAGAGACTATTTTTTCCACGTGACTGTTTCCTGAATGTGGCCCGCTAACCTGGAACAGACGGACAGGAACTCTTTAGCTGAAATCAGCCGTCTACAGTTGGTGTTCTGGCTGGAGATATCAGCACCAATGTGGGTCAGCAGCTCGTTAAACTGACCGCGGTGTTAAACTGGGCTCRGGACAAAAAAAACGTTCATTAGCTCCTGGAGTGGTGAAACTAACCAAACAAACCGCCTCTAAATCATCTGGTGAATTAATTATCTGCTGTGCGCAATGATCGCTTGCTCTTTAGTAAATAAAGCAAAGCCGTTTTCTTTATTTTATCTTTATTTCATCCGCCGAAGACAGACTGGAAAAAACCAAGACGCTCCTCCCTCTACAGACACGTGCTCTGTCCCGGTCTGAACGTGATGCATCCAACTTGAGGCATTGGGTGCGTTTTTGTTGCTCAAAACGCATTCGGTGTGAACATAGCGTAACACAACAGAACATAGAAGGCCTTTGTGTGGGGCCATTTATGGGTTGGTCCGTAAACTGGAAACAAACATGTTGGTTTCATCAGACTGGTTTTCTGATGGAGAACCAGAGCAGGCTGGTCTTTGATTAAAGCAGAGCTGGTGGAAGACTAACTGGACTCTCTGATCCTGGTTAGGTGCAGAGGAGGAGGACACGGAGGGCTGGGTCGTGTCATCAGAGTCCTGCAGCTTTCAGTCCATTGGTGCCAAGTTTGTGTTGCATCATGTCTCATTGAGAAGCAATCCTCTGAATTATAACTGAGAGCTGTGTTTCTGTGAGTTCCCAACATTTTCACACCTTCATTCAGGTACTACAGGGAGGTCCTACCAGGAGAGATTGTGCAGATCTCCAAGCACGGAGTCCAGTCTTTGTGCATCGTGCCCCGTCCTGAAGGAGACCTTCCTGCCTTCTGCATTTTTGAATATGTGTATTTTGCCAGACCAGACTCTATTTTTGAAGGTATTTATTTTCACACTTACCGAAGAACTGGTTCTGAACTGTACAGCTTTCAGGTGTTCTGAAGTGTAGCTGCCCTGCAGGACAGATGGTGTACACTGTGAGGCAGCGCTGTGGTCGGCAGTTGGCCATCGAAGCTCCGACAGATGCAGACGTGGTCAGCACTGTACCAGAGTCTGCCACACCTGCTGCTCTGGGCTACGCTCAGCAGGTCCGTCTACAAGGCTTTGTGCTGTTCCACCACCTGCTGGACCTTTCTTCTCACCCGTTCCTTCTTGTCCTTCCAGTCTGGGCTTCCGTACACAGAGGTGCTGTGCAAGAACCGCTACGTGGGCAGAACATTCATTCAGCCCAACACTCGCTTGAGGCAACTCGGCGTGGCCAAGAAGTTTGGGGTTCTAACAGACAACTTTGCAGGGAAACGTGTGGTGCTGATCGATGACTCCATCGTTCGAGGCAACACCATTTCCCCCATCATCAAACTGCTGCGAGAAGCTGGAGCAACACAGGTTGCCTTATATATCAGACTGTCTTGTACTCTGATTCTACAACTACTTTTATTTTGGTAATACAGTCATATGAAAGAGTTTGGGCAGCCTTGTTAATTTTTCTGATTTACCTTTATAAATCATTGATTGTTTGGATAAAAAAAATCAGTTAAATATATCATATCGGGGACAAACACAGTGATATTTGAGAAGTGAAATGAAGTTTATATGATTTACAGAAAGTGTTCAATGATTGGTTTAACAAAGTTAGGCAGGAGCATAAATTTGAGCACTGTTGTCATTTTATTGATTACAAAACCTTTAGAACTAATTATAGGAACTTAAATTTGGTTTGGTAAGTTCAGTGACCCTTGACCTCCATACACAGGTGACTCCAATTATGAGAAAGGGTATTTAAGGGAGGCAATTGTACATTTT